TGCCCCTGAAAATGGGGAGTTAGGAGAGAAGGTTATTGAGAGAGTTGAAAATACAATCAATGGTATGGATCAGGCCAATGAGGATTCACCATATAGTGGGAACATGGTGTTGGTTGAAGACAGGCCTTCTGTGGCTGGTGAGGACTTGGATACTGCAGCATCTCCACTGTGTTCAAGCACAACATCTAATAGTGATCGCAGGTGGAGTGACACAGGCTCCTATGCTGCAAGAAAGGTAAGTTCTAGATCCCTGATATAATATTCAGTAGCACTTTCAGCTCTTTTTTGATCCAATTGTTTTTATGTTTATGGTAGATATTCACTTGAATTTTTCCTGATTCTAAGTTATCTTGGTGCAATCATGGTTCTTTTTGTTTCTTTTTTCTTCTGTTTTGACCTTAGTTGTCCACAAGGTAGAAGAATTTAATAAGTTGGTTTCCAATTTTCCTTTTCTGATGGATGATCAGGAGAACTTTAATGCCTTTGGAGGTTGCTTTTTGGATTTTGTACCAACAATGAACAAACATTGTAGTAAATCTGCATCAGGCCTAAGATGAGTGATATTCATGTTTGACACATGCAATGACAATCTTAAAGTCCTTAGTGTATACCCTTTGGAATTTGATCAGAAGAGATGTAACAAGCCAAAAGCTTTGGTTTAAGAGGCAATGGCTGTTGACTGTGAGTTGTACTAAGTAATGGTATCAGACTGCATATTGCGAAGCTTGAAGAAAAAAAATTGCAGAATGAACACCTGTGCGCAGAACACACTCTTAGAAGTTATTTGAATCTAATGAATATTCAGTCAGTGATGGAAACTAGGAACACCTGTTGTTATTTTTGGAATTGGATGATAGAATAATGTTTCATCAAAATATTCAGTTGATTATTCACACAAATATGCAATGTTTCAAATATTTTGGTCATGTTTCTGCAACTCTTGTACTTCTATAGAGAAAGTCAGCTAGCTTTGAGGTATATCAGTTGGTTATGTAGGGATGATGGTTTCTTCTTATTAAGTGCAGTTTTGCAATGCAATTGCTATCTGCTTTATAAAGGCAGTAGAGTATAAATTTTATGGCCGATGGAAAAGCAATAGAGTGTATGCTTTTTTAGTGTTGCAGCTGCTTATTCATTATGCAGAGTATGTCTAACAATAAGGTTAATTACTTTAGCCAATGGGGAACATAAATGTAACATGAAACTAAAGTTGGTTGCTAATTCTACTGATGTAGATTTTTCTGATTCATGATGGAAAATAGAAGTTACACTAGATTTTTGGTGCTAGTCATTAGTAGGCATTTTAAACATTTTAGAGAAAGAGCATTCTTGTTGCTTCTACTTCTTTTTTACCAGTTTAAGGATCCTTTTGATATTGAAATTGAATTATATCCTCTTAATCCACTTACCTATCCTGGTATTTGTTTCACAGACATTTATCTTTTCTTCAGCATACCTTAATTGGTAATATGAACTTTGAAAACATGCTAGAATGTTCTTAATATGTTGAATAAATTTTATGTTCCATGTGTCGATTTTTTTGTATGTTTTGTATATTGACATTTTGTATCTGATGTACATGTTATGTTTTGCAAAACGATGTCATTTAAAGTTAGCAATGCACTGATGAAACTTCCTGGTGTATTATATTGATCCCTGGGATGGATCTGGAATATTATTGAACCAATATAATTCCATGACATTATTGGAATTGAAAGTTCCATAATTTAGCAGTATAGATGATGGATGAGCTTTTTCTATGCCACTCACTGTCTAGTGATAGTGGTGCTATTTAATGCTATTAACATGCTATTTATTGATTTTGCTACCTAATTGTTCAATTTACTGCTTCAGAAGCTTCAATCTTGGTTTCAACTCCCACATGGGAATTGGGAACTGGCGAAAATCTTGTCAACTTCAGGAAATGAGTCTGTTATTTCACTGCCTGAAGGAAAAGTAAGAAAGCTTTGGTCAACATCAAGTAAGAGATTTTGTCACAAATAAATATTGATTCATTTTTTTGACCCTCTTGCAGGTTCTTAAGGTGAAATCTGAAACTTTGGTGCCTGCAAATCCTGATATCCTTGATGGGGTAGATGATCTCATGCAACTTAGTTATTTAAATGAGCCATCAGTCTTGTTTAATCTGCAACATAGATACAACCGAGATATGATTTATGTAAGTTTTCATATTAGTTTTTATTTAGATATCAAAGCCATACCTCCCTTTCGTTAACGCTGTTGAGGCTACAATCTTGTCTATTCAGACAAAAGCAGGGCCAGTGTTGGTTGCTATTAATCCCTTTAAGGTGGTTCCTTTATATGGAAATGACTACATTGAAGCATATAAGAATAAATCCATTGAGAGCCCACATGTCTATGCCATCACAGACACAGCTATTCGAGAAATGATACGAGGTAGCATCAGTTTCTTATCATTATTAGAAATTTTTTTTCCCTGTTTAGTTCTCTCATGTTACTGTGATAAGTATATGATATTACTTTGTTCTTTTTTATGTTTGCAGATGAAGTAAATCAATCTATCATCATAAGGTTAGTCTTGTTTATTTACTTTCTTGGCACTGGTCATTTCTTTAAATGTTATGCTGGCTAGGATGTGGTCATTTCTAATTAAATTAAGCCTCTGTATGTCAACTTATTGCTGTGCTTATGGCACATGCTTAAAGCTGACTTCATTTTAAAATTTTTTTTTTTAATTTTTGGAATTCTTTTTGGGTATTTAGATTCTAATTTTTTTTTTTTTTAACTATGTCTACCTAGGTGTCTTCTTTAGTGGATCTGCTGATTAAAAATGTTTAGGCCTCATTGTCCTCTAATGCATTTCTGTAGTGTAGTACCTTAGGTGGGGATCACTGATAAGTTATATCCTAGGCCAGGCCATTTGACACTCCGGAAATATTTTTTTTTCTCCAACTTTAATTAAGCTTCTGTTTTGCTGTTGTTCTATTCTTATAATTCTGCACTTCACTTCTATTTCTATAAAAATATCCTATTGTTGTGCTCTTATCTCCCACTAATGATCACTCTCTGCTTGTAAAGATAGTTTTGAATCTTGGGGTCTTGGGGATGGTTATGAACCAGGGCAGCTGTGGTTTCTTGGTGAGAGGGGTATACAATTTTACCAATGTTCATGATTTTTCAAATTTTAGGGTTTTGGGGTTAGCCCTCTGGGTATTGAGATTAATACTTTATTGGTTGTTGTAACAAAAATTATGAAAGAATTGGATTTAACTTTAGATTAATTTTAATTTCACTGCCACGCAAATCTGGAGCATTTGGTGTTGCCTTCTACAAATCAGTGATCCCTGAGGTTTGTGTCCACTGAGTGAAGGATCTTTTCTGCAGTTAAATTGCATCCAAATTAATAATACTCTAACTTTGGGCGGGACCACGTTGTCATTGTTTAATGTGTTTGGAAGGGGAGATGCTTTGAGGTGGTTCTTTCTTTTCACTTTTTGGAAAGTTAAGATTGTTGTTAATTAAATTCCATATAATTGTCTCTATCTGTTTACGTTTTGGTCATTCTGCCACTTTAGTTCAGTTTTGAACATGGAGTATGCCATGTTTTTTGTCTTTTCCTGGAACCAAAGATCTAAACATGAGTAATCTTGATGTATCATATAATTGAAACTGTCATCATAATGAGATGAAACACATTTTAGGGATCTCATAACCCAAGCTTGTTCTATTTTGTATATTATGCATTTTTACTTGTCCAGTGGTGAGAGTGGAGCTGGAAAAACTGAGACAGCAAAGATAGCAATGCAATATTTAGCTGCACTCGGCGGTGGTAGTGGTATAGAGTATGAAATATTGAAGACCAATCCAATCTTAGAAGCATTTGGCAATGCAAAGACATTAAGAAATGACAACTCCAGTCGCTTTGTAAGCTCTCTGTTCTTTTCATGTCATCTCAAGGGATTGATTTAACCAAACTATGTTCATGGTTGGCAGTTAATAAATTTGATGTTATGGCCTTGAGGAATTTATAATCTGCATCAATATGTCACAGGGAAAGCTGATTGAAATTCACTTCAGTGAAAGTGGGAAAATATCTGGGGCCAAGATTCAAACTTGTAAGCTTTTTTGAATTAGTGAGGTCCTTGGATCAAATTATATTTGTTAATGTACACGCACACACATACATGCATATAAATATTCTTTTTGTTTTTGAAATCTAAAACTAACTCAAGTTTGAATTTGTTTTTGATTCCATGGTGTTGATAGTTTTATTGGAAAAGGTAATTTTAAGTTTTAACACATTAGTTTATGATTATTTCCATTTCATTTATTTTATATTCCTAATTATGTATTCTATGAACAGTCTAGAGTGGTTCAATGCTCAGAGGGAGAAAGGTCTTATCATATATTTTATCAGCTTTGTGCTGGTGCTTCTCATGTTCTAAGAGGTAGTAATTGTTCTCTGTGTCTACTTCTATAAGGTTTTTGATTAAATAGTCACTTCATTATTTTAGATTTGTACACTCCATATTATAAGTAGCCCTAAATGCTATAATGTTGACAATATTTCTTGTAATGGTAATAATGTCTCAGCAAAGTTGTTATCTAATATAATTAAATTATTTTATTTGAGGTCTCAAAATATATTGCCGAGGGATTCTTCAAGGGGATATCTGTGCCATGTAGAATTGCAGTTGAGCAATAAAATGTTTTAATGGTTCTGTATAGATATGGAGTAGTTCCATGTTGAGTTCCACATTTAAGTGGACTACTTAAGATCTGTACTGTTTCAGTTTTCTTTTTTTTTTTTTTTTTTTTTT